ATTACTCCCAACTAAGTCATATTTAGAGAGGCTTCTCACAAGAACAGGGGTTCTTGACCTTTTATGTGTCATGGTCTTCTTTGGCAATCTAGTGATGTCTATAGACTCCTCAAAATAATGGTGTTAAGTGCATAAAGCAAATTATAGGATTACAAAGGAAATTAATTGAAATGTAGTTATTAAAATGTTTTGAAAGAAATAAGAAGCCCTTTTATGAACTTTTCACTTGAAGGACCCGTACTTCAGGCTAGATTCTCCTCGGAGCTTAGAGATCCCAGTTGCCAGGTTACTGTTTCATCAACACCCAACTCCAGGTTATTTTCTGTGACCAACAGTAACAGTGGAGATCCCAGATCTCCTGGTTTGGGAGCTGATACTGAGACATTCCGTTGCCCAAAGAAGAGTTGTTAGAACCTTAGGAGATGCAACCTGCATGTTGGGTCGGGAGTGAGAACACTTCTGGAATGATGGAGGGGTAGGGAGAAGGCAACAAAGAGGAAGAAAATATAATTAACAACCTTGTCAAGAAGGCCTATAGCCTCAGTGTGTTTCTCTCACTACCAGTTCATGTGATTTTTTTTTTTGAATGCCTATCAACAACATCTCTCGAGCTCCTGTTTGTGCAGAGCACTGTACTAGGCATCGTTGGAGGATACAACATACAGGATAATCTTTGTTATAGAGCTTCCAAGCTAGTTAATTCACAAATATGTGAAAGGACTTAACAATTAAAATAAAAAGTTAACAAGAGTCAAATAATATTGAAGCACAATAGAATGCAGATGGGATGAAAAGATAGAGTAGAGGAGTGAATAATGTCACAGTAGAGTTAATCAGTGAAGGGTACTTGCTGATTCTGTTATTGTGGAAATGTCTTATGTTGGTAATTGGAGCTTCTTAAACTTTTTCCACTCTCAACCCCTTCAGCACTTCTTAAACCCCATATAGGGTCTTGACCCACAGTTTAAGAAGTGCCGGGATGGCCACTTAGGGAGCTTTCGATTCTTCTGTGATTCAGCTAGTGGAGTTCTGAGGTAGATATAGACGAACTGTATTAGTCTGTTTTCAGGGAGGTCTATGCACTCCTACCTGAAAATTTTCAATAATCAATAGATTATTGTTGAACACATACATGGCGGGAGTATAGGGAACACAAAGTACAAACTTGGTCAGTTACCTCAAGAAACTTATAGTCCTTTGAACTGGCTGTTCCCCAAGCCTGGAAGACATTCCATTTCACCTCTGTCTCTTCAAATCCTTGTTTCCATTAAAACTCCAGTCAAGATTCAGTCTACTCAAATATGAAGGCTTTCCTGATTCTCTCCTCCCATAAATATATGTTGTATGTATTTCATACATTTATATGTTTATTTGTTTATATATTTATATATTATTCATGACATATATGTAATGTAACATGTAATATGATACATTTATATATTATATGTGTGTTTCATTTGTATATATAGATAGAATGTAAGCTCTTTGAAGACAGAGTTTATTTTATTCTAGTCTTATATCCCCATGGTCTAGCAATTAGCCATTAGTAGCACATGGTAAGTACCTAATAAATGCTTGCTGATTGATTGGAGCAGAAGTCATAAGCTCTCACCAAAAGCGGAGCTTTAACCATTTTTTTTTAACAATTGGCAACATCATTGGGCTAAGTAATAATAATGATAATCTTTAAATAGTGCCTATTAGATGCCAGACACTGTGTTAAGCACTTTACAAAAATTAATTCATTTGATCCTCACAACAACCCTGAGAAAGGTGTATTATTATCTTTCTCATTTTACAGTTGAGGAAACTGAAGCAAACAGAAATTAATTTGTAATTAATTGCAAATTAAATAATTTGCCCAAGTTAATGTAGTGTTAGGGAAATTATATTTATATACCCATGTTCCTGTACCAGTGTGTGTATGTTTGTTTAAAATAAAGTAGTTCCTTTATCATTATGCCTCGTGTATATAGGTACAACAGATCCCTCAACCTCAGAGACCCACAGCCTATGGAATCTTCTTCATCCCACCCTATCAGGATGACCCATTTTTCTGTCTCCCCCTCCCCCTCCCTCTATTAGAAAAAAAATTGCTTTTGGCAAACATAATTTTCTTAAAAATAGTTGCCCAAAAGTAAACAAAATCTCAAAAATCTCCCTTGTCATACTGTATTAATATTTTCACTTAAGAGTAGTTTAAATTTAAGGAAACAAATCTTACTCCATATCAATTTGACCTCTTCCACCAACTTATTTTCCAGCTCAGCTAAGAAAAAGAAGTAAGGATTGATTTGTACTTGATCAGTCCTACCTTTTACCCAACTTCAGAGTAGTGATATAATCAGTCACCACCTTTTACATGCATTCTCCAAACCTTCAATGCCATTTACATTTCAATTTGACATTTATGGATTTGTAGGCCTCTAAAGACACAAGACCTGCCTTCTTGGTCTCTGGTCTAGTGAAAAGAGCACTGGATGGACTAGGGCTCAGAAGATCTGACTTTTGAGTCCTTGCTCTGCCAATTAACTCGGAGTGACCTTGGACAGTCATCTCACCACACAACCCCACCCCTGCCTCAGTTTCTTTTTTTTTTTTACTAAATGAGATTGAACTAGATCTCTAAAAACCTCTTCCAGTTGGAAATCTCATGATCTCCTCTCCCCTCCATCTAGGGTACGCACGGTTTTGTGTCTGGGTGGGCAGCTGACTGTTTTCTCTTCTCCCTAGTTTAATGCCCTTAGTCTGTTATATCATCATCGTTATGTTAGAACTGTAGTAGTAGAGCTCAGAGGACTTGGATCCTGATGGATGATGCCATTCTAAATGATACTCTGCAAAGCCCTGGCACAGCCAGAGATACCACTGAAAAGCTTCCCAAGTGTGCTTCCTAGAAGATCTTCCTAATCACTGTAGGATTTGCTTATTGTTGATGAAGCCCTCAAAACCATGACTCATTGCTGGTTCTGTTTTCAGATGTGGGGTGGGTGGCTTCGTCAAAATAAGCCATGGTGTTCAATTCCAGATGGTCAGACCATCGTTGAGGAGCAGGGGGAATGGGGGTTGGGAGGAAGGAGCTTTTCTTTATAACCAGGAGAGTTTGCTCACTGGGGAGAAGGAGGGAGGAGCTCCAATAAAAATGAATTCAGGCTAGCTTAATAGAGTTAATGATAATAATAATGTGATCATGTAAAATCAAGGTGAGGACCTAGGTGGTCTTTGTCCTCCAAGAATTGATATATATTCTGTAGTTCATAGATCTAAAACTGCAAGAGACCCTTGAGACCACCTACCCTAAGCTCCTTACTTTAGAGATGAGAAAACTGCCAACCAAAGAGGGGACGAGACTTGCCCAAATTTATAGATACAAGTGAGAGGTGACAGGTAGGAGTTGAGCTCGGGCCTCTGCCTGCAATCCAGTGCTCCTTAAATTCGTACACCACAAGGAGGTAGCCTCTGCTTGTCAGCTAATTCACCTTCCTCTTTGTATAGCTAAAGAAAGTGAGGCCCAGAGAGTTGACTTGCCCAAGGTCACCTGGGTAGTAAGTATCAGAGTTGAGACTTGAAAGTGAGGGCCCTCCCGGCCTACCACACTGGTCTGCTCTCTTGCACTGCATCATCTCCCCTGCCCCAGTTTACACATTGTCCCTTGTTCCTTCCAGTTGTCGCTCACTCAGTATTTCCTGTGAAGCAGTTAATGGGAGGCACCATTACAGTGTTAAAAAAGTTGCTGCCGCCTCTTCTCTGTTGGTATTCTGGGACTGTCTGATCAGTGAGTGGTGGGAGGCAGGGAGAGGGAGCACAGGGGACAGATCCGGTCTCAGGAAGAATTTGTTGACAGTCCTGAAGTATTTTGCAAATGCATTGAGGCTGGTGGAAAAAAAAAAAAACAAAAACAAAACAAACAAAAAGAAGCCCCTGAGCTGCATTTTGCCAAACACATTTTGCCCTTAACTTTTAAATCCTGTGTGTATTTTAAGGGAAATTTAATCTGTAGGGTTTCCTCACATGTTTACTTAATTCCTGCAAACACTGTTTTCTTAGAGGCCTGGTATCTGCTGTCCAAGAAGATTTGAGCATTTCTTTTAAAAAAAATTTTTTTTTCTAAAGTTTTCTTCTCTCAGAATCCAGGAAGTTGAGTGTTTCCAAGAGCAGCTAAGCTCAAACTCAGGGAAAATGTGTCAGGCAGCTTGAAACTGGACCCTGGAGGTTCTAAGACCCTGTCTGGGTGATGTCAGGCATCCAGATGAGAAGGGAAAAATTCGGTAAAAGACAAATGTTTTGTCCAAGCGCTGGCTGAACCACTGTATATGTAGACACACTTTGATCACTGGCAGATCTTTTATTTATCATTTATGGTAGAAAGACATCCTGAAGAGAAATCTGGAGATTCTGGCTCTGTCCCAAACTACCTGTGTAACTTTGGACAAGTCATGTCACTTGCTTGGGCCTCGGCTTTCTTCTTTATAAACTGAAGTCAGCTGGGTAAGATGACCTCCAAGGCCCTTTCTAACTATTAAGTTTTGGGAGTCAGTGATTCTGTGCTACCCAGGTTTGTGGTCCTGTAGCCAGGGCTGTACTCTCCAGGTCTATGCTGCTATTTGATTTGGACAAACCTTAGTCCCATAAGGCAGTGCTCAGCAATTTTGCTAGTCAAGACCACTACCAGTGGGTGCTAACAAATGTCTGTGGGTGATTTTGACTTAGGGAAGAAGGAAAGAAAGGGGAGAGAGAGGAGAAGAGAGAAGATGGGACAGAGAATGTGAATGTGAATGCTATGAGGGAGAAAGAAAAGAACTCTGTCCCAAAGGGAGGAAGAGAAGGGCAGCATTGATTTCCTGGGGGGAGGGATCCGTCATAAGCCCCTGTGTTTTTTCCTAAGATGTCACTCCCTTCACCAGCCCTACCACTCTCCCTTTCCTGGTGGTTTCTTTTTAGGGAATAATGATAATCAATGTCCCTCACACATCTCACTTGATTCTCCTTTTTCTCCGAAGGACATGAAAGCTATATCACTTTCTGCCAGTTGGAAAATGAAGCTGCCTTCACCTGTAGTGCTGATCATACCATCCGAAAGTGGGACGTGGTGACTGGACAATGTTTGGCTGTTTACCGAGGACATACGTCAATTGTAAACAGGTTCGTGTGCCTGATACCATTATTCCACAACTGCTAACTCCCAACAATTGAACACTTGCAGGCATCCCAGAACCCACCTGTTGCATGTATAATACTCTGCTGGGCATTGTGGGAAATACAAATTCAATTCAACAAACATTTATTAGATGCTGGCGCTGTGCAAGGTGCTGTGCAGTGGCAGTGGGCAAAAGAAAACCTAACAGTCCCTACCCTTAGGAAGCTTACCTTCTTTTATGCAAAGAAACAGAAGACAAGGTTTCTGCCCTTGGAGAGTTTATAGAAACAGTATGGCGCAGTGGAAAAAAACATTCGATTAAGCATCTGAGGACCTCAGCTTTGCTTTTGAAACTTAACTTTGCTACTTATTACTTGTTTGAACTCAAAACAGTCAGTTCATCTTTCTGGACCTCAGTTTCCTCATCTATAAAATGAGGGTGGAGTGAATGATTTCTAAAGGTCTTTTTTTCCAGCTCTAAATTGCATGAGCCTACCACCTTCAGTCTAGCTGGGGAGATAAAGCATTCGTATATGCAAAAATTTAATAATAATAAAGTATGGTGTGGTATAGTAGAAATATTACTGGACCAGAAGTCATGAGACTCAGATCAGACAGCTCTGGCACTTGACTCATTCTCTGAACTGGGGTAAGTCACAACCACTTCTCTGAGCCTCAGTTTCCCCATCTATAAAATGGGGATAATAATGTGTACACTATCCACCTCTTATAGCAGTTGTGAAGAACTTTAGAAGTCTTAAACCTGAATATGAGACATTATTTGTAGAACTGAAATAACACGAATGACACCACGATGAGAAAGACTAATTAAGATCACACAGCTAGCAAGTGTCTGAGGTGGGACCATTAATGACTGAGCATCAGCCAAATCCCTGGCTATGCTAAAGCAGGTCAGAGAAGAGGAAGGTGACCAGGGGGCTGGGCTGGGCAGGCTCTCAATTTGAGTCAGTCTTGTTGAATGGCTCATTTAGCCGTCGGCATGGAAGCAGATGCCTTCCTTCAGTTCCATGCACCCCCTGATGCCCGACTTAGCTGCTTCTGGGTGAAGGATGGGAGAGGAACTGAAAGCCCAGCACTTCCACTGGTGAGAATAGAATTCCAGAGGAAATGGCTTAATTGATAACTGATGCTTAGCCGGGGGGAGGGGGTGAGGTTGAAGGAGGAGGAAGAGAGAGGCGGGAGTTGTCTGTTCTAAAGATGGAACTAAGAATTAAAAAAAAAAAATCCTTTCCCTGGTTAATTGTTGAAAATATCCCCCAGCTCAAGATGTTTGAAGTTTTTTTTTGCCCAGCTGAATTCAGGCCTGCCAGCTGGTTTTCGGGGTAGTCTGCAAGGCCTTCACCGTTCAGTTAAAGTCAGTAAGTACTTACTAGTTGCCAAGGAGCTGCCTGGCACTGTGCTAGGTGCTCTGAGGAAGGTATGGAAATTATATAAGACTGAATTTTTACCTTCAGAAATTTGTAGCATGACAGTAATAAAAGCACAGGACTTAGAATCAGGACACTTGGGTCCAAGTCCCATCTCAGATACTTCCTAGCTGCGTGATCTTAAGCAAGTCACTTAACCTGTCTCAGCCTCAGTTTCCCCATCTGTAAAATCAAGGAGTGGACTAGATGGCCTTTAAGGTCCCTTCCAGCTCTAGAGGTCTGATCCTGTTATTCTAAAATGCCGTGATCACTCACATGTGACTTAAACTCTCAGAGTATCTTTATCTGTGAAAGGGATCCGATACGTCTTCTGCCACCTTCTTCCCAAGGTTGTTGCAAGGAGAATGCTTTGTAATCTATAAACCTCTATATAAGTGTGAGCTATTATGGCCAAACATTTATGATTCAGTGACAAATGAAAGGGGACTATGATAAGTGCTGTAGAAATTCAGAGAAGGGAGAAGAGAAGGCTGGGAGAATCACACACGGCTACCTGGAGGAGGTGGTACTTCTAATAGTTATTGAAGATAGAAAAATGTAAAAAAAAAAAGTTAGCAATAAATGTAGTCTTTTTTGTGGAACAGCGAACACAGCAACCTCAATGAAGTAGAGTTTAGATTGGAAAACAGATACCCCTGAGAACTACAGGGTGTTAAGTACCCAACGGACCTCTGAGGCCACTTAGCTCATCTGATCTGATATAAAATCTTGGGGGCAGCTAAGGGTGCAGTGGATAGAGCACCAGCCCTAGATTATTTTCTTGGGGGCAGCTAGATGGCACAGTGGATAGAGCACCAGCCCTGGAGTCAGGAGGACCTGAGTTCAAATCCGGCCTCAGACACATAACACTTCCTAGCTGTGTGACCCTGGGCAGGTCACTTAACCCCATTGCCTAACCAAAAAAAAAAAGTCTAGAAGACCAAAGCTCAAATCCAGCCTCAGACACTTAGTATCTGTGTGACCCCCCCCCCCCCCCCCCCGACCACATCACTTAACTTTTCTGTTTGCCTCAGTTTCCGTAGCTGTAAAACAGGGAGAAAATATGTATATAAGGTAAAAATGTAGAATAGCACCTACTTTTTAGGGTTGTTGTGAATATATAATGAGATGATCTTGCAAACCTTAAAGCACTATATAAATGCTAGCTATTATTCTCACCAAATACATATGTCTAATATTATCTGTTATCTGTGTGTCTTCTCCCCCTACTAGACTGTAATCTTTAATGAGCACAGGGATCATGTTTTATTTCAACTTTGTATCTTCCACAGCACCTAGCATGCTGCTTTGCACATAGTTGCTTAATAAATTTTGCCAAGATGTATTGAATCAATTGAGATGAATTTAAAGCAATACAGCTATTATTAGGGGCAAGTCATTTAACTGGTCTGTGTCTCAGTTTCCTTATCTGTAAAGTGGAGGTGATAATCCTTGTATCTTCTTCATGGTTTGCCATGAGGATCAAATGATAATATATGCAAACTGTTTAGAAAACCTTAAAACACTCTGTAAACATTAGTTATCATCATCATCATCATTATTACTCCTCTAAACTCCTTGAAGGCCTGTTTTCTCTTCTGTATCACCAACCTTGGGAAAGAATTCAGTAAGTCCATTATCTCCTGTTCTTGTCCTTACGGTAAGTTGTCTCAGTAACAGCCCTCTCAGGCACATATTAAATATAATAGGAAATATGTAACCGGATAACATAATTAACAATAATCCAAAGTGATGCCAAAAAAATATGCAAGAGGAAGCTAACAAGTGCTTCACTCCTTGGTGACAGTGTGTTCAATCCAACAAGTGTGTTTTTGTTATGTACCTATTTTGGCCACGCTCTAAGCAAGGCCCTAAAGACATAGAAATGAAAGAATATGTAACACCTGCCCTCAGGAATCTGACAGTCTAATGGTGGAATAATACATTTGCATGTTCAGGTTTGATTCAGAGCAGATTATGGAATCTGGTGTAGTGGAAACCCACCCCTTCCTCCCCACCTGCCACTGGATTTGGCACCAGAGGATCCAGGTTTGAAACCTAGCTCTCCTCTCCTACCTGTTTGACCTTGGACCAGTTGCTTTATCTCTTCAATCCTTAACTTCCTCATCTGTAAAATGAGAGGGTTGGGTTAGATGACCTCAAGGATTTCCTACAGCTTTAAATCTCTGATCTTAAGGACAAAAGAGAGGTCTAGGTAAAAGTGTTATGAAAAATGTAAGGATTGGTAGATCACTTGATGCTCTCTTTACTTCCAAATTACCTGCTCTTGGCTCAGCTGAGCTCATTCTGTGAACTCTTTCTCTCTCTCTCTTTCCCTCCCTCTCTCTCTGTCTCTTTCTTTCTCTCTCTCTCTCTCCCCCTTCTCATCTCTTCTCTCTCATCTTCTCTCTCTTCTTCTTTCTCTTCTTCTTATTCTCCCCCCCCAATTTTCTTACTTCATTGTGTCTTCATCAGGATGCCTGGCTTCCAATATAATCTATTTACTGAAACAAAATGTTCTGTCTATAAGGGTGGAGAGAGAAGATATCTTTTCCATTTATTCATTAACACTTAATTATTGGTAATTATAAAATTACTTAACATTTATTTAGCAAGATATCTTAACAGGTCTTACCCTCCGCATATATAGTGGGATTTGGTTAGGTAGGAATGGGGGTAGGGGCGGCATCAGTTTGCCAAACTCAGTGACAGTCTTGAGACTCTTTATAGCCTGACTGGGGAACTGAACTTTGGGTTAGTCTTTGATCCCAGATTTGTTGCCAATAGGATCCTAGTTGCCAAAGACTACCTCTTCAGTGGTTCCTATGACCGAACGGCCCGCTGCTGGAGTGTGGATAAGGAACGTCAAATCCAGGAGTTTCGGGGTCACCGGAATTGTGTCCTGACCTTAGCTCACTACTCCTCCAAGGACATCCCAGATGCATCTTCAGCAGAGGGGGAGAAGGTCAGCGGAGACTTCCTGGTAACTGGCAGCACAGATGGCACAGCCAAAGTTTGGTGGGTGTCCAGTGGTTGTTGCTACCAGACCCTGAGGGGCCACACAGGAGCGGTCCTGTGCCTAGCCCTGGATGAACTCAACCAGGAGCTCTTCACAGGCAGCACTGACTCCACCATTCGCACTTGGAACCTTGTGACTGGGGAGCCACTGAAGGTGTTTAAAGAGCATCAGGGATCAGTGATCTGCCTGGAGGTAAGAATCAAGCAATTTGCTTGCAGAACGTGTAGAATAATTCTGAGATAATCTAATCCCTGCTTTGGGTCATTTTAGAAAGCACTTATAGTCCATTGGGACAAAATATGCTTTTTAGTAGAAAGTGTAGTTTAAGTAGAGAAAAACACAGTGTCCTCCAGAAAATCTGCATAGTGATCTGGGTCCTCATTCATCAGTATAACCTTGGGTGAGTCACTTCTCAGAATCATCAGATCTCAGATTGGAAGGCATCTCGGAAGTCCTCTAATCAAACACATACCTAAGTAGGAAACCTTCACAATATCTCTCCCTAGCCATTGGTTATATTTTTTTTCATAACAAAACTTTGAGGCAAGTAATGCAAGTATTATTATCCCCATTTTACAGAAATAAAACTGAGGCTCAGAGAAGGAAAATAATTTGGCCACGGTCACACAGCTATTAAGTATCAGAGTCAAGACTCCAAACCGATTATCTGACTCTTGAGTTCAGTGCTTTTTCCAGCTCACCAGGAGACATCGGTTGGGCAGTGGAGTGACGCTTTGTCTACTCTTGCCACTCCAGACCGCAAGGACACCCAGAATAGATCAAAATACTAGAGAATTACTGACCTTTGCTGTTACACAGCCTTGCCTCATTTTATGCTAAAAAAGTTGGGTGCAAAACAATTTTATTTATTTACATTTTGGGGGGGTAATTGATCCATATTTTGAACACTCTGGTGAAGAGAACACTGTTGGCCATATGAAGCCTTCCCTTCTCCAGGCCTTCATTTCATCTCAAATAGACGGATTAGACTAGATGTTCTCTAAGTCTCTGCTAGCCCTAAATCCTAAATCCTGGCTTTTGGTCTTCGATCAGTGACTAATTAGCTGGGTGACATTGGTCAAGTCACATAACTTTCAAAGTAGGTGGACTAGTTGACAGATTAGCATGAGTTTCCTTGTGGTCAAAAGGGGGATAATTTCATGCAAAAGTTAAAATATGCTACACAAACAGACCAGTATAGCAAGTCCTTTGAAAAGGTTTATGAAGATTCCATTTAGAAAACAAAGGCTCCCTCTCTTCATTTCTTCTTTGTATGCTGAATTTCCTGCACAAGTCCTGCACTGATGCTTTAACATAACAGGCGGGGACCCTAGGTTCTCAAAGGGCAGGATTTGAGCCTGGATCCAATGGTAGACTGAGTCCACTGTCTGAGGACCAGCCCAGCAAAACTTATTGCTACTGACCTGGCCACTAAGAGGTAAATTCCTTGGCTTTGGTAGCCCATGAAACAAAGGAAGCTACAAAAGAGCTCTCGGTCCTGTGTGGCCATGGTCACTTTTCTGGCCATGGTCATGTCTAAGAATAGCAGTTCATCACTAACCTTGAGAATGATCAAGTGAGTCCTAAAACAGGCAGACATATTGCTTAACCAGGTTGTTGGAGGTTATCTTTCTGGAGGTTACTCAGTCCAAATTGAAGGATTGAGTCACTCTAGGTTGTTTCATTGTGGTGGTTGTTCGGTCATTTCAGTCATGTCTGACTCTCCGAGACCCCATTTGGGCTTGGCAAAGATAATGGAGTAGTTTGTCATTTCCTTCCCCAGCTCATTTTACAGATGAGGAAACTGAGGCAAATAGGGTTAAGTGACTTGCCTGACTATAGATTATAAGCTCCTCCAAGTGCCTCTATTTGCAAGTGTCATTGTGTTGATTGAATTAAACCTCAGGATACTGTGTGATATCCTCAATGAGAGACTTAACTCCTGAAAGGAGGTCCACTTGATGACCCACATAGGACAAACAATAGATAAAGAATGTCTATAATCTTGATTATTCTGTGAATTACATGAACTTCCCATCAATCTAGTACATCTGTCTTGGATAGGCACTGGAGATGGATAATGGGTCCAAAATTGAAGAGGAAGAGGATAGTGAACTAGATTGCCTTTGGGAAACTGCACAGCACTTCTGGGGATCCCAAGCTGATCCCTGACACAAAACCTCATCTTTTTAACACTGATATTCTCCCAGTGATGGCTTATGACAATGAACCATAGAACAATCCCAGTTCTGCCTGGAAGGGCACTGGAGGAAAACATGGCAAACATAAGCAGGCTATTAGTTATTGTGCATGAAAGCTATCATCCAGGAAATGTATGATGAGAAGGAAAAACAGGCAAGTCAGGTAGTAAGAGGATAGATGGACAACGCAAGGGTTCTAGTGGTTGGTTCCCTACCCACAAGATGTGTTTGAAAAACCACACACAAACACAAAAGCACCCAGTGGGTGACCTACAGAACATTGGGTTGATCCTGAACAGAAGATTTTTGAGAAGACCAGGACGAGAATCAGACTGGATGAGAAGGCATGGATGGCCATGAAGGAATCCCCACATCAAGGAGGTAATGGATCCAAGTGAAGTAATGAAGCATATGCTGGACTTGTTTCAAGGGGGTGTTGAGCATCATGCTGGCTAGGGGTACAGAGGGCCCATCGGCCCCTGGGGAATGGAGATAGGGTTTCACGGGTCCTTCCCTAAGCACTGGGACTTCCTTGGTCACTTTGGGGCTTGGGCTGAAATAGTATAAACTTTAATTTTTAGTTGGGTAGAAATTAAGCCATTATCTGAGTAGCTCAGCTACCTGAGTTGAAGATGTAAGCTGGAGACAACCCTGGGAGGGGAAAGAGAGGCATCTAGTTGTAAGGAAAAACAACCTCTTCTTTGAGACATTTTATTTGCTTGTTCAGGCATGCTCTCTCTCTCCTTCCCCAGGATGTTTAGGCCTGCTCAGTAAAAGACTGTCTATCTTTCCTGGAGGAGCCCCATCCTTTTGGAGGTAATTTCCTCCAGTGATGGACAAGGGGTTTATCTTTATGCCACATCTCAAAAAGCCTTTCTTTGGGGCTGGATGCTGCTCTTCCAGTGAAGGGGGTAGGGATGGGCCTATTTTCTGGCATTTTTTGGTATTTTTGGCAGGGAACAGGAAAAAGGCAAGGCCAGAGAGAGAGAGGGAGAGTGGCAGCAGAGACAGGAGAAAGAAAGGGAAAAGGCAAAGAAAAAGAGACAAAAAAGACGGAGGAGACACATGAATCAGAGGTGAACAGGGGTTGACCCAAAACAGGAAAGGCAGAGGCTCTGATTGTGTGGTTTGTTTTGGTTTTCATTCCTTTTGAAACTTGAAAAAACAAGCAAATAGCCTAAAGGGCATGTCTCTTCAGACATGCAAAGAGAGAAAAAAATGGTTTGAAGGAAAACTAGGTGAAAGGGTTGGAAAGTGGAGCTAACCAACATATCTTGCTCCCAAACCTATTTTCCTCTGACTGGGCAATCACCAAGTATTTCCCAACCACCCTTCAAAATTTAGATGATTCATTATCCATGTACTTAGGAGTTTATGGTTTACTAGGTGCTTGAGCAGGACATGACATAACCCCCTAACAAAACTCTCTTCAGTTTCTGGAAAGAATATTACTAATTAATACAAGGAGGCACCATTAATACAATAGATTCCCATTTACCCTGAATATTTGGGGTGTAGAGAATGTTTGGTTAATCTAATATTGTGACTTAAAGGTTGGCTGACCATCCACTCAGTCAACAAGTACTTATTCAATGCTTACCGTGTGCTTGGCACTTGTGCTAAACACGGTGGATATAAAACAAAGCAAAAACAAGGTTCTTGCATCCATATCATATTTGGACTGCCAATTTTCAAAGAGTTAAGATTCTTAAAAGACATAACACTAAAACTCTTCTAAATGGAAGCAGGTCTCTGCTGACTCTGAAGACATTTCCAGCTCTTTTGCTACCCTATGGGCCATCATAAGGACTCTCAATCCGAGGATTGATTGAACACCTGTGCTTCCCTTCCTAGGGTAGGTCCATCAGGGGAAAGAAGAGAAATTGATGTCTCAACAAGGGTCCCTGTCCCAGGTGCTTACAGACTAATTGAGGAGGCAAGATTAGTGACCAGGAATTAATTATAGAATGGTGTGAGGCTATGTGTACTTGATACTAAATTGTAGTGTGGTGCTATCCAAGTGCTGTAGGAGTTTGGAGAAGGGAGACATCATGAAACAGGTTCAGGGGAGTAAGTGACAGTTTCTGGCAATTATTGTTGAGTGGTGTGGCTGGGATATAAGGGACCAGGGGGGAAAATCCAGGACACCTTGTTCAGTTGAGCTTTGTGAATGTTTGGATTTCATAGAAATCAGATGTTTCAGTTTCTTCTCCTTGGCTACAAAGTTTAACCCCTAATTTTACCTCCAATCTTGTTGTTGACCCATTCCATTCTTCAGCTCCCATACCATGACCTTGAAGAGGGATTCAAGAAAAGTCAGATCCTACTGTGAGGATGCTGTTTCTCCCCATCTCTCCTTATCTCCCTAACACTGGCTCCTGTGGGAAAAAGAATGTGATATAATGGACAGGAAGGTGGAAGTGATTTAAATTGCTACTGTTAGGCTTGGTGCCTGATTTCTTTTCAAGCTGCTGATCTGAGAAGCTGGCAACCAAACTGCTGAGGGGGAGTAACTGCTCAGAAGTGTGACTTCCTCCTCTTGGTAATTTGCATGAGATTTTCATTCAAGTAACATCTGTGCTGGCCTCAGATTAGGAGGATTTCCAGGGGACTTAAGGTCTAACTATTCCGAGAGGAAAATTAGTCTACCCCTTTCTCAGAGGAGGCAGATGTGGTCCTATTCCTACTAATAATTACAGCTAACATCCATATAACACTTTAAGGTTTGTAGAGCACTTTTCATGTCTTATTTGGTCCTCACAACAGCCCTATGAGGTAGGTGCTATTATTATCCCCATTTTACACTTAAGGAAACTGAGGCAGAGAGTTGTTAGATGATTTAGCCAAGGCCACACAGTAAGGCTAGTAGGGTTACTAGCAAGGCTAGTAATTTGAGGCAGAATTTGAATTCTAGTCTTCATGACTCCCAAGTCCATCACTACTGATAGATTTACCCACTAGGCCAACTAGTGGCCACTACTAGAAGTGAAG